GGAGGGGGAGCGGCTGCTGCGGGGACTCGGGCTCGGTCTCAGGGAGGGGGGCGGCCTTGACGTGGGTTCCAGGCGTTGCCGAGGGAACCGCGTGTTTACGCAGAGCGCGGGGCGGGACGCCAGCCTAGTACCCCAGAAAGCCGGCCCACAACGTCTCCTCCCATCACCCGGAGTGACCCGGCCAGGGGTCTGCGCAAGCCTGCTGGACCTCTTCAGCCACCCAGCGGGGCCAAAGTGCAACTGTCCCGCTTACAAAAGGCGGATTCAATGAGGTGCAGTCTTGCTCTTTCCTGGCAGGCACAGATGCCCTACAAGGGGGTCTTTGAGAGGGGGCGTTTCTGGCATATGCAGGTAGGAAAGGAAAACAGTCCACATCTTGAACTTGCGGGCCAGAATAATCTAAACCAACATTTCTGGAATTCGGGCAGGCAGCAGAATCACCCAGAGGTAATAATATGTTAAAAAGGGATTGGGCCTCCATCTCAGTTTCAAATGATGTAGGGCAAGGGTAAGGACCAAGCATTTGCAGGGGTGGTGATGATGCTAGTACAAGGGCCACACTTGGAAAATTACTGATGTAACTGACTTTTTGAATAGATTCCCTGCTGACTCCCAGCAGTCCTGAGCCTGGGCTCCTAAATTTAAATCCGTCTCTGATTCTGAACAGAGGCATGTGCCTCTTAGAGGCAAGATGTCATCTCTTGTTCAAGGGCCTGGACCTCAGGACTGTAACTGACTAATGCATGGGTTGAGGGCAGGGAGAAATAATGGCTCCTGCCCTGCTGTTAGCCTTTGATCTCTGGAATGTAGTTTGTGTTGCGTTTATGGTGCTGTTGGTCCCCACTGTAGATACTGTTAAACAGTAATAGGAAAGTCATAGCTGCCTAGGACAGTTGCAGCTCCAGATGGCCTCATGGCCTTGAGGGAGTAAAGTGTGATTAACCTTCAGGTAACCATTAGGTTACCTGGGCTCTTCTCCAAAGCAAGTTTGCAAAGTGTGGGCCCTGGACCAGCAGCATTATCAGCATTCCTAGCGTTCACCCAGCACATGCCAGTGGCACCTCTTTCCCAGTTGCAACAAATAAAAATATCTCTAGAAATTGCCAAATTCTCCTTTAGGGTATAATAACTATAGATCAATTTATTTAGTAAACCCAATTTTTAACCATAATGTGTAGTTTTAGGAAAAACAAATAAGGCTTCTAGCCCCCAAAGGCTTACACAAATATATTACAAAGAAATAAGTGTTTTAAAAGATGTAGGAGTGAAATTCAATGGAGATGATTAACATGCTAGAGTAGTTGATAAAGACTGCACAATACATAATGTTACCCCAGAAAGGGAAAGGGTGGTGATGCAGGAAGGGGTGTGGGGGTGGGGTGGGGATGAAGAGGAGGAGTAGCAATATATTGAAAACACATGTGACATCATCCAAAGCTTAGTGTTGAAGTTAGTGGTATCTGAATCCTAGGCTACACGAAAGTGGGCAGTAAAAAGAGAAATGTGGAAGGTTTTCTTGTGAAAGCCCTTAAGTGCTGTGCTGTGGAGACTGAGCTTCGCGGAGGAGAAAGTTGAATGGAACTAGTTGTTGAAGTTTATCAAGGGAGGGAGCACCACAGTCGGGTACATAGTTCAAAAAGGCCAGAGTAACCTCACCTCCTGGTTCCTTTCTTTCCTTATCTGCATCAGTGTTCTCTCTTCTGCTCGTTTATGTTTTGTTGTCCATCGAGGCCCAGGCCTCTGCTCCCCTGAACTTTCCTCATGTCACAGACAAAGCTTCATAATTTCACATATCTCCATGGACATGAGTGGGACAACTTAGGGACAAGTAGTGGGTGAAGAAGGGGTGATGAGTCGAATACAAGCGGGTAGTAAAACCAAGAAGCTGTAAAGGAAGCATTGCTGGGCAGGTGGTGCTATGGTTAGTACACTGGTAATGTTTCCACTGTCAGCTCAGTTTGAAAGCTGATTGCTCTCTTGAGGTCAGCTCTATCTTTTACCTCAAGTACAGGCTTTTCATGTATTTCAGAGTAAAGATAAGTTGCTAGGTAAGAGAAGATGCTCCTGAAAAACCTGGGCCCAATCAAGTAATTAACACAGATTTCCCAAAAAGTTTTGCTACTCAGAGGCAGCCTCCTTACAGATACCACCTCAGAGAGTGTTAGAAATGCCCCAAACCTCATGGTTAATTGATCAGGGTTTGTATTGTAAGACTCTGGCTGATTCACACATATATAGAAGTATAAACATCACCTTAAGGAAGGAATAGTATATAATTTGTGATTTTCTGAGGGTTGAAAGATGACCAGATTCTGGAGGACTGGGAGCAAAGAGGGGATACAGACCTTGGCTCCCACAACTGAGGACAGAGTACCAACCTAATGGGCTTGGGAGCCTCACTAGCTCTGTGGGTGACCTTGGCACCCAGGGGTTAGTGGTTCTTGTTCTAATGGGTTATCACACTTGCCTTCAAGGAGCCAGCAGCGGTGTCCACCATGGGTTGGATAAACCCTGGGGTGACCCTTAGACCTGACAATTAGGTCAAGCACAGTTTCCAGACAGTAACCAGGCAAAAACGATAAAATAGTTGGAAATACGAGGAAAATATGCCCAATAAGCAGAGAGTAAGATCTAGAAGTTTGACCCCCAAGGAAGGAGTTAGGGGTGACAGCAAGCTGCAGGCATGGGGATGCTTGTTTTATCCTGTTTGTGATGAACATAGTTAAGTATTCAGGGGAAGATACCAGGGGTCGGGGGTGGGGAGGGGGAAAGGAGGTTGGGGTGCCTGAAATTGTTGAGGAGGTAAGCGCCTTATTGAGATGGTTGGAGTAAAAGTGAGTATTATCTAGAAGCAGAGTTAACAGAGCTCTTGTGGAGGTGAGGGGTGGATTGATCTCCCTAGAGTTTCTGACTCCAAGGGAGGTGAGGCAAAGGACAGACTAAATACTCTAAGGGTTTGGTGCTGGTTTAGATTAGAATGCAGGAAAAGTTAGGTGCTACCTGCTTTTAATGTTTAAGAAATATGACTTGGGGCTGGAAAGCTGGCTCAGCGATTAAGAGCACTGACTGCTCTTGCAGAGGACCCAGCACATACATGGTAGCTAACAACTGTCTGTACTCCAGTTCCAGGGGATGTGATGATGCCCTCTTTTGACCTCCTTGGACACTGCATGACACGGGTACACCTACCTACATGTAAGCAATACATACTCACTCATACAGTCATAAAATAAAAATAAACAAAATATTAAAATAAGAAATAGGACTTTATTAAAGTACTGTATCTGGAACTTGAAGTTCTGACTGTCCAGTCATAGAGGTGAGATGTACTAGGAAAACAAGGGTTGGAGTGGCACTGCCTCTGGAATGACTATGGGAGAGTTATTTAACCTATCTGGCATCTCCCTCCCTTATGTAAGTGGGATAAATGCAGTGGGCATCCTGTAGGTGAGGTACAGAGCGTCTACCCTGAAGTAGGAATTAGAGAATATACCATCTGTAGACAATTCTTAAACAAGAGGGAACCAACTGAAAGTCAACTATTATCACCAAGAACTGACCACTCTTAACTGGGTCACTGACAAAACTCTCCTTGGTAGCCAAGGGATACTGCAGTGTGTGCTTTAAAGTAGAAGATGTGTATATGGCACATTATAAAGTATAACTTTTAGACGATATATTTGTTCTAATTAATGATAGACGATATCAAGATACAAAATAGTGATTCTACTTTTAAAATATACAGCAAATCAAATCTTCAGAAAAATATTTGGTCACAGTGAGTTTTCTTTGAAATAAGTGATAATTTTACCACAAAACCTGAACTTTTTTTGTAACTGGGAATAAAAATACTAACTTTATAGTTTTTCTTTTGGTTAGGTAATTATAGACCCAATAAATGGATCAGTATAGACTTTCTGAGTGATAAAGTCAGTTAACATTAATTCAGTATTTGGCATATTCAAATAAAATACTATTACCTCACAAAAGAATTTACTGCATTTTCTGAGGGAACCACATGATAATGGTTCCATTTTTGATAACTGATATGACCAATTTTTTCTTTCTTTTCTTTTGAGACAAGTTCTCAATATATAATCCAGGCTGGCCTCAAACTCACAGTCCTTTTGCCTCTATCTCCCAAGTGCTGGGATTACAGGCATGTACAACCACATCTAGTTTTTAAAAATTATTTTTAACACCTAGATTAACTAGCAAAAATGCCAATAATGAGCAGCTCTTTCATGTTTTAAGTCTAGCATGCAGCTGACAGAGCATGAGTGTCATTCCATTGTAATGGTGCATGGGTTAATTTCTACTTCACACCTGTATTTCAACTTAGCATGAGGCTCTGGAGTCAATCCTCAGAACCAACCAAACAAATAAACAAAAGAAAAACCAATTAAGCAACAAACAAAATACTGCCCACCTCCCAAACACACCCACACACACAATTAAAGAGATGGCAAAAATCTGATTATTACTTGGTCTTTGCAGAATCAGCATATGACTTTATGACAACTTGGGTGCTAACAGATGTTGGAGCTGGGGACTCTGCAACAAAGAGGGTACACCACAGCAGCTATATGCTTAGAGAAGCTGACTCCATTTGATCTTTCCCAGACTATGTCAAATGTTGAGAACTTTGTATGATTCCCCCTCAGTATGCTCTTATGAGGGCTTTATATACTTGAACTAGAACAATAAAATAGCAAACTTAGAAAATTCATTGTTGTGTGTTGTATGACAACTGAAACTATCAAAGAATCTTTAAGAAATATAGTCATTACTGTAGTGTCATATTTAAAAGTAAGTTTTAATTTTACCTCATATATTAATGACTAGAATCTCATTTTTAAGCACTTTGTATGCCACATTAGTGATATACCAAAAAAAATTTTCAAATATGAAGTATAATGCCTTCTATTTAGCAATGGTGTACTGTTTTAGAAAGAATAGAAATTAGCTTACATGTGTAATTGGATACTGGCTTTCATATAATTCAGAGAAAATAGCACTTATAATTTCTTTAAAAAGAAAATGCAGAAAATCACAGAAGAGGTCACTTGAGAAGAAACCCATCTCTCAGTGGGTCATCATCTTCTACTGTAAGGCTGGCTGTACCACTGTAATGAGCTCGTCCTGAAACTTCCACTACAACAGCTTTAAAATCACCACACTTTGCTTCCTGAAAAAGACAAAAGCACACTATGGAAATGCTGCAGTCATGTGCGGGTCTTTAAAGATGGGCTCTTGGTTCTTATGCTGAGGGAACCCCAAGTGTTAATCCTAAGGGCAAAGGGAGGCTCTTAAGGGGGGGTGACATGGTCAGCTGTGTATTTTAGTAACCTTAGTGGGAAAGTGGGGGCAGATAGGAGAAAGGCTAGAATCCCAGAAACCTACTGAGAAAGAACACTGATTCACTTATGAGGCAGATTTTAGTGAAGAAGGAAGAGAATATAGATACTTTGGAGGTAGAATTGGTAGCCTGATGAGGGAAGTAAGGAACTAGGGATGTGGGAAATATGACCATAGTTTCCAGCTTGGAAGTGACATTATTAGCATTTCTATTCACCAAGGTGGGGATAAAGGGAGGAACACAGGAAGGGAGGGATGGAAGGAGGGAGGGAGGAAGGGAGACAGACATTTTAACTTGCAGAACTTAGAGATGAGTGAGCTTGTTAGATTTGGAAAGCGGTGCAGGACAGGCATGGCAGGGTGAAGGTCTGGGACTCATCTTCAGCAGGTGGTTGAGAACTGAGGTCTAAGAAGTAGATGAAATTGTCCAGTGACATCAGACTGGAGAGAGACGACAAGGAAGCTAGGCATGAAATGCTAGGGACATGTAATTGGAAGCCCAAGGAAAAGATGCAGGGGCAGGAAAGAAGTAACACCAGAGAGCCTGAGCAGCTAGGGCTCTTCCCCACAGGGAAGGAGTGCAGGGCAAGCAAGGGTCACTAACTAGACCACAAACCTGTTGTGGTTTGAATCTGAAGTGTTCCTCACAGAGTCATGTGTTTGAACACTTGGTTCCCAGCTGGTGGTGGTTTGGGGGAAGTTGTGGAAGCTTTAGTAGGTGGAGCCTCGCTGGAGAGAGTGGGTCACTGTAGTGAGGGGTGGAGGTTTTCCAGCCTGGCTTGCTTTCTTTCACTCTGCTTCCTGAGGGTGCATTGTGACCAGCTGGCCTCCCCTCCTGCAGCTATGGAACTTAGCCCCTTGAACAGTAAGACAGAATAAACCTCTCCCCTCAGATTGTCAGGTCACAGCAATGAGAAAAGTAGCTAAAACATCTTACCTGTAGTAGTCTTATTTTCTAATTTTAACATAATAACTGAAAGTAAAGGTAAAATGTCAAATTTTAACTCTGGAGAGTTTATTTACATATAAATTTTGCAGGGCTGGGGGCTGAACTCAGGACCTTGTGCTTGCAGGGCAAGCGCTTTACCACTGAGCTACATTCGCAGCTCATTTTATTATTTTAATCTAAAGCTTCATTGAACTTTAGTTTTTCTAGAAGCAATTATAGTACTGCTGTGCAGCAACTCCAAGATAAAACCTTTTGTCTTGGAGAGAAGCTTCTTAAGGCACAAGATGTTCTATGAGGAGTGAAATATTCCATCCTGCAGGGAAGCTTAAGTTCAGAAAGTTCACAACTCAGGAAGTCACTGTAATATCAGATACACTAGGCCCCTGTCTTCCCAAGCATATACATAAGCCTAAGAACTGCTAAGGGGCACTCAGATTAGTTATGCTGCCTGAAGGAGGTACAGACCACCTGAGCTGAAAAAGGCATTCTCTAACCTGTCTAGCCACCTGCAAGTTGTGCAGTACTCCAGGTTTCCAGCCTTCATGAGCTGTCACCCATGCTGGGGTGGGTGTTGGTGATGCAGCTGTTTCTGACTCTTTTGGTTCCTGTAACTCCAGTAAAACTCACTGGTTCACCAATTGGACTTTGGTGGTACCCTTACTTTGGGCTGTGGGCCCTCTGCGGTCAGTAGACATTTGTTCATGTCTCCTCAGGAATAGTGGCACACAAGTATTTAACAGCCTGGGGTCTGTTGAGAGACACTAAGCCCTGGAAAATGATCTGACTTTATAACTCTCCTTTAGTATGAGATAATATGTATAAAGTTCTTAGCTTGGAAACTGGCACACAGCAAAATACCTAGTAAATACTGTAGGTTATTATTTTAGCTCCAATATCAGATTCTGAAGACAGTGTGCTCCAAATTATTACAAACAATATAAATGATTTGGCATATTATAAAAATATTGTTTGGTACATGAACCTCTAGCTTAAAGAGAATTAAATGTTCAGAAATAAAGAAACCTTAAAACCAGCTATATTACGGTAGATTGCTTCCTGTGTTAAAGAACTCTTTAAAAAATTTATTTTTAAAATTATGTATGTATATGTGCATGTGAATCCAGGTGTCTGCGGAGGCCAGAGGGGTTAGATCACCCTGAAGCTGGACTTACAGGTGGTTGTGAGCCGGCCACCCAATGTGGATGATAGGAACCAAACTCAGGTACTTTGCAAGAGCAGTATGCACTCTTAACCTGGAGCCATCTCTCCAGTACCCATTAAAGGACTCTTCATCAGTAGATTTATCCACTAAATGATGATTAATCATTCTATAATATATTTAATTTACTACTGAGTAGATTTATTAGTGGTTGCCACATTTGATTCATTACAAAAATTCTACTTTCTACAACTTACATATTTCACATTCTACATAACATAAAATACTCATAGAACAAAGGGAAAAACAAACCCAAAACTCTTAATTTAGTGGTTCTCAATCTTTTTGTTTCAGGACAAGTTATATCTCAGTATTTGAGGACCTCCAGGAGTTTCTGTTCATGTATGTTGGATCTCTCAGTACTTACTGAGAATTAAAGATATTTGTTCATTACATCATTTTAAAAAGAACCTATTACACATTAACTGTCTTTTGTGAAAAAAACTATTATTTTTCCAATGAATTTTTTAATGAGAAAGTGGTATCATTTTATATTCTTTTTTTTTTAACCATAAGTTGTGGTTTTTATTACTTAGAAAAGTCTCATGGTTATTTTGCTTTCTGACTCTGTGCTTGTGCCTTCGACACTTTTACAACGATTTTCTGCTCCTCAATAAGGAAAGCATGCTTGATCCTGTCACGAACACATTTAGCACACATAGAACCACCATAAGCCCTGCTGACGTGTTTTTTTGTTTTGGACAATCTCATGAGGACTTTAGGCCTCACAGCTTGAACCCCCTGAAGTCTGCCTGGGCACACACCACATGCAGATTTTGGTGCTTTCCCAACCTTCTTGGTATAAAGGTAAACAATCCTGTTACCAGGGGTTCGGGCAGCCTAGTTTTGTTAGAGCATGTGTTTTAGGAAAGCCTATGCTCGTATGTCAAACACTGGACCATTCTGAGTGCCTGCAAACACTGTCCCCGGAAGAGGAAAAAGAAAGCTTTATATTCTTTTTAAAAAATGTTTTATTATTTTTATTTTATGTGTATGAGTATATTGCCTATGTTTATATATGTGGACCTGTGTCATGCAATGTCCCCAGAGGTCAGAAGAGGGCATTGGATCTCCTGGAGCTGGACTTAGGATGGTTGTTAGCCAAAATGTGGGTCCTGGGAATTGAACCTGGGTTCTCTGCAAGAGCAGCCTTAATTGCTTAACTCTTAACTGCTGAGCCATCTCTCCAGCTCATTTTATATTCTGGCAAGCCTCTGACTTGTCTGTCTTAATAGAGGACAGCTGGATTCTTATGCGCTTCTGCATTTAATTATTCAGTTGGTTGGAATGACGTTTACAATATGGACGTACTCTGGACAAATGACTTTTACTTAACCTTGCAACCAAAGAATTAATCTTCTTAGCTTGCTTATAATGTAAACAAGCTCACTGAGCCATGTGCTTCTCTTATGACCTAGTCCTTCATGACCCTTCCTTGTCCTCCACCCAAAATATATGAATATGTGTGTGCATGCTTTACATATAAAGTTTTACAAATCACCTATCTTACCACATTGCAAACAATGAGAGAAATTGTAGTTGTGTGTGTGGTATTTTAGGACTAGGGATCAAAGGATCAAATTCTTCTCTGATAAGATAATTCCCCATTACATGCTGGATATACTGTTTCAATAAAACAAAGAGTGGGCCCTTGTTCTAGAGCACAGCACTGAGAGAATTCTGAAGGAACAGATTTTTAGTAGTTTGGGTCTTCTCTCAGTCTTAAAATAGATGCTAAGAGTCAGGCTGTTTTTTATTAAGGCATAACTGATGTGGCTTAGAAATCACTCATCAGGTAGCCTCTGGAGAACTCTACTGCTTTTGAAAGAATGAGTGAAACATAAACAGCATCAGTATTATTATCATAGCTTTGACCCATGGAAAGCACATTGTGGGCGCATAGACTTGCCAACACTACGCTTTGGAGAACGGATATCCTAGTAGAACAAAAGTCTTTACAGGCCTGCTTTAAAATTATCTTCTGAGTGGAGTGAAGAAACTTACCCAGCACCCAGCCCAGGCCTCTTCAGCTCTTAATGGACAGTTACATGTAAGAAGTGAAAGTGACACTCACCCTCACAGCACTCCCTGTGAACACTGAGCCAGTCGCACTGCTTTTAAAGGCTCTGGTCTGGTTCAATTGCAGAAGGCCTTTGTGATACTGCAAAGCAATGCGGGCTGTCACTCCTGAGCCAGTGGGGCTTCTGTCAACCTGTTTGAGAAGATAGGAATGGGAAGGTTCTGTATTCAACGCACCTGGTGTTTGTGCCTGACAGCTACAGTTTTGGTACCTGTTCATCTGCAAACACGCAGATGTTGGTGGTTGGCACCTCACTGTAGGCATCGTTTCCATCTGTTAAAATAGTTCCATAGAGAAAGGCAAGATCTTCACTCTCAGGATGATTGATTTTAAACTGCAAATAACAACAAAATAACCATTTGTAAAATGTTTTCATTCAAATTTGTCTTCAGAAATAATGTTAGTGAGAGACTCTTGGCCATATTTTAAAAATATGTGCTACTTTTTAAATACCTTGTGTGGCAAGTCTCTAAATAACTACTTGATATTACATCATTCTTGATAAACGGTTTTATTGGAAGCTATGATTCTTATCATATGTTGAGTCCATGCTAGAGAAACTGCCCTGTATCTAGCCTCCACTAAAGAAACAGTCCTATTTTATATGAAGCCCAACACACACATTCTGTGAAGCACTGAAATCAAGATGGTCAGTCCACAGGCTGGCTGTGGCTGAGCTATGGTCAGCGTATTGAAGAGGAAATGTAGGAGAGCTGCGGTATATACCAGTTACCAGCAGGAAAAAGTAAAAAGGTTCGGAAGCTAGTAACAAGTCAGAGAAGCAATTGGATAAAGACAAACCAAACCAAACCAAACCACTAGAGGTTCCATGAAAGGCAGCAGATACACACAGTGGCCAGGACCATCAGCAGTACAGCACATTGAGGCCCAAAGATGTAAGACTTCCAAATCTTGGAAGATCAAATGGTTTACGCTTTCCTGGATTTCTGTAATGTCTGATAAGAGTCTATCTAAGTCCAAGTTAAACAGGCCTGAACATATGTTGTCTGATTTCGTAGAGCCCCTGTGCTGCCTTCTGCCACAGCATACATTGTAGGTGTGGTAGCTCCCTCCTCTAGATCGAGCTCTTGGGAGATTATAATTGATTCTTCCTTTGGGTCTCCAGCATCTAGCACAGTGTCTGACATATCCAATACATTCTTGTTACATATCTGTTAAAGAATGAGGATGAATGTATATTACATTAACTGTAGCCTTTTGTAGACCCCACAAAAGGTCTTTCCCTAAATCTGCATCAGCAATATGACTGGTCAGCAGTTGACAGAAGATTTTTACTGCCCCAGTGCTTTGATGACAGAACTTGGATTTCCTCAAGGTACAAGGACTCTGAACTCTGAGAGCCCACTTCTTGCCCAGCTGCCTGCATGTGCTATCATGCCTGGTGGAGTAACTTCTTTTCAGTATAAGAAAAGTTCACTAGGAATTCATGCTCTTGAAATAATCTTATCAGACTTAATGAAACTTATCTGTAAGTTACATCTACACACTATTTTCAAGTATTTCATGAAGAATGACCACATACAGCAAAACATATGCATAATATTTACTGTATGTTTAAGAAACTGTAAACTATTTTGTCATGTACAATTAAATAGCTGTTATTTATTGTTACACTTATTGAACATTTACTATGGGGCAGGTCCTAATCTAAATTCATGTATTGATTTATTTCACTTGTACAACATTCTTAAAATCGGATATTCTATAATTTCCAGTTGGAAGGTAGGAAAACTAGGGCACATGGAGGTTAGGTCATGAATGCTCTAAGTGGAAAAGCTAGAAATCACAAATAGCTCACTCTACAGCCCCTTTACCCAGCACCCTATTCTTAGTATGACTAAAACTTTAAATGCATAGCTATTTAATTTCCTTAATGGGCATGATAATCTTTCTCTCAAGTCATACAGGTGGCATGTGTTATGTGCAGAGCCCAGACTGACCTGAGCTCTCACCGCTGCTGTCACTGTGCTTGCCGCATCTACAAGGTCCCTGGTCTTCGCAGAACACACATCAAGTCCTAATTTTTCTGCAGTAACCAGTGCATAAAATGCTCCACCATATGCAATGTCCACAACCACCTTTCCATGTCCAGGAACATCCACTACAAGGTCTGAAAAAGATGTATTTAGAGACAGGTTTGTTAGCAAAAATATTATATCATTTTTATTATTTATTCTGAAGCAGAGCCTTTTTTAGCATAAAAAGAAATGAAGTGAAATCCATTTTCAAGCAAGTGTCAGGTAATGACAGCTTGGTGGTTCTTGTTTAAATTTGACGTTTACAAAAGTTAGTATCTGGATGCATGTTTCTCAATTATACACGCATCTTTGTTATCTACTCTGAAGTTCTTCTGTAAAGAGCATCATAGAAGGCTACTAAGAGATGGGAAGACTCTAGGACATTCACTTGTGGACAGCACAAAAAAATGGAACTGGTGAGATGGCTCATTGGTTAAAAGTGCTTCCTGCTCTTCCAGAGACCTGAGTTTGATTCCCAGTTCCTACACCAGGTGACTTACAACACCATGCTTACAATTCAGCTCCAGGATCATGCCTCTCCTGGCTTCTGCAGGCACCTGCACACATTGACACACATTCACAGACACACAGACATACACACTCACACACGGACACATAAATAGAAATAAATCTTTAAAAAATTTTAATTGTATCTGTATGAGTATATTGTCTGCATGTATACCCAGGTTGTGCAATGCCCAAAGAGGTCAGAAGAGGGTGTTGGATTCCACTGGAACTTGAGTTACAGACAGTTGTTAGCCACCAGCCATGTCACGTGGGTGCTGGGACGCAAACCTGGGTCTTCTGCAAGAGCAGCCAGTTCTCTTAATCACTGAGCCATCTCTCCAGCCCAGAAATAAATTTTTTTTTCTGGTCTTTTTGAGACAGGGTCTCCCTGTTGCCCCAGCTAGCCTAGAACTCACTATGTAGACCAGGCTGGCCTCAAACTTACAGAGATCTGCCTGCCTCTGCCTCCCAAGTGCCAGGATTAAAGGCATGTGCCACCACGCCTGGCCCAGAAATAAATATTAATAAAGTAAAATAAAACAAACCCCCTTATAAGTTATATGCAAACACTCATGTACATGATTTCATCTTAAAAGAATTGATAGCAAATACTCAAAAATAAAACCACTATGGGATAGATGACTACTCCAGGACCATTTGGCATCAGGATTTTAATCTGTGCATTGGAAGTCCCTGACGTAACTAAAATTTCACGTAGGGTCAATTTAAAATCCTTCAGCCCTATTTCCAAAGCAATGGTGGTAGATGATATTGTGGGAGATCCTGTTTTCACTCCCACTCACGGTGTCTTTTCAGTTCAAAGTGGCCTAGTGATCACTGTCTTGAGGAGGCAAGTGGTCAGGGAGACTATGGGTCTCCCTGCTTTTGCTTTATGGAAACCTAAATTCTCAGGGGAAAGACATGTATTGACGAAGGAGTGTCCTGAAGGAGAAATATTTCTGTTAGGCAATAGAGAAATTTCCTTGGCCTGGGGAGAGAGGAGGTAAAAGGTCCGGAAGGCAGAGAGAACCCATGTTGGCTCCCCCACAGCACCATGGGAGGGCATGGTTGGTGCAGCCAATCAGGAGATGGGAAGCTAGCCGGACAACATGGACTGAGGCTGACAAGGCTTTGCTGGCCAACGGTGCAAGCTGAGGTGAAAAGACCCTCTTGTCCAAGGCACTGCCCCCTTCAAGAAGCTTTGTTCCCACGTTGGGAAATGGGACAGTGTCTGGAAGCGTGAGCTAAGCTATCGGAAAAGATGGGGGACTCACTTTCAGAAATTAAGTTGTAAAACAAAGTATTTCCTGTATACCTGGATTTTCACACCGACTCACACTGGGATCACACAAAGATCCGCGTGCAGTGAGTTAGGCCAGTGTATAGAGGGCCTTAAATAGGATGTGTCGAAATAAAACTAGATGGGCTAGGGAATGGCCCAGTGGGTAAGAGTGTTTGCTCTGCAAACATGAGGCCTGAACTTGAATCCCTGGCACCCACATTAAAAAGCCAGGAATGGCTATACCTGCAACCCCAGCATTGGGGTATAGACAGGTAGATTCCGAGAATTCACTGACCAGCCAGCCTAGGCAAAATGGCAAGCTTCTGATTTTGGTTTCAAGGCATAAAGACAGGCAACATCCTGCTCTGTCTTCCATATGTATGCATCCCCACACTTACATGCATACACTACACAAACATGTACTACACTACACACACATACAGTAAACTACACATACATACACTGCACACATGCAATAGAGATATTTTATTATTTTTATTATTTATGTGTATGAGTGTATTGCCTACATGTATGTTAATGCCCCTATGTCGTGCAGTGCCCTGGGAGGTCAGAAGAGGGCATTGGATCCCCTGGAACTGGAGTTTCAGAAGGCTGTTAGTTGCCATGTGGGTACTGGGAACCAAACTGATGTCCTTTGCAAGAGCAGTCAGTGCTCTTAACTGCTGTGCCATCTCTTCAGCCCTCAGTAGAGCTAATTTATAATCAAAGTAGTTAGACATGAACCTTACAGCAACACTGAATCAGCAGTGCTTCTGTCTTGAGACAATGCAACATGAAAAAGGTTTAATGAAGGGAGAAGGAGGAACACTATGGAAGGAAGACAGCTGGAATATGGGAAGCTAGGGCTGAATGGCGGGTGTGGGCATCCAAGGACATGAGAGACAGGCTGCCTTGCCTGCCCCCTTTTCTAGACTGTGAGCAACACAGTGGCCACCAATGTTGGGCCAGGTGGAGTGGGAAAAGTTAGCTCAAGTGAGAGGGTTGCTAACATATAATTACTCTATCATGTAACCCAAGCTGGCCTAGAACTCACCATCTTCCTGACCCAGTCTCCTGAGTTGCTGGAATTATAGGTATGCAATCACAATGCCTGGCTGTCACTTTTCTTTTTAAATCATTAAATTATTAACATTAAAAATTAAGAGACTTCTTCCAACCATGAGTACATCTCATGTGTTAGGCATGTTGCCTACACTAGCTCCTTAATAACTTGGCAAAAGATCAAAGGATCAGAGGGAGCGCTGAGAGGTAAGAACTACACTATTTGCTATCACTTTGTTCTCAGCTATCCACCAAGTAAGTGGCAGAGCATGGAGTCAAACTCGGGACCAGGTGACTCTGAAATCCCAACCCTTTTCCCTGAAATGTGCAACCTGCATTAGAATTCAGTCCAAAATCTGAAGTCTTTCCTTTTCTTCTATGCAAGCTTATCATGAGATTTTAATTTCATTTCCTTCACTTAAGACTTGGGATACTTATTGTATATACCAATTGATGTGGGAGATGTAAGAGGCACAGAATGAATAGAACAGCCTTTCTCCTTGAAGTTGTTAGACAAGATAACACTTAAAATGTGCCATAGGGTATAAATGGGTCTAATACATGAGGACTTTTTTCCAGAAATATATCTCTGTAAGCTATAAAAATGAGAAGAAGAAATCTGGCAGACTTGGGTTCTAGTCCTGGTACTTAGTACAGCTTTACTGTCCTTGTATGTAAAATTGAATTGCTAGTTCCCCTAAGAGAACTGTTTTGCCATTCCACACAATAATAAGTAGAGTACCTGGCACAGATTAGTAAGCCTGGCAAATGTTAATAATAAATCCAATGTTTAATTTCCAGTAGGAATAGCTTTCTCAAGATGCCCTGATAGCCACAACTGCCAACAGCATATTCTCCATATTTCATCTATTTAGCTACTCTTTTAACCACTATTATTGATTACCTACTGTTTGAGACTCATGGAATACAGTGAACAAAGTGTTTGCATTTTAGAGTGGAGGGACAGAATGAACTCCATAGCCCTCTCATCTGGGAACTGGTGCCATTTTCAGTTTACAGATTGTGGCTTTCTTATAAAGTCACCAAGCCGGGAAGGGCAGAGTGGCGCTCTTGAACACCATCCTCTGCCTTTTATGCATTTTTTTCAGGTGGAGTGATACGGGATTTCATCTTCCTGATATTTCAAAGTCACGGATTTTTGTGCACTTTTTGTGAGGTCACATAGGGATACTGTCAGGAACTACGATATGCGAATTGTTGGTAGTCCCTCTTCTTATTAACCCGGGGTAAGATGCCGTTACCAGCTGTCTGTTCTCACAAAGTCCAGTCCCTCTAATCTGCTGCTTGAGTTGCCTGGGGGGAAACTAGGTAGCCAGGCTAGTTAAAAAATTTTTTTTAATGCAACCTTAAACATACATGTCTTCCTCAAGTGCCAAACTATATGTGACACCCATTCTCTTAAAGAGCATCAGCTCCCCGGAGACATTCTTTATCTTATGTTTCCACTGTTTCTAATGCCTGTTCTGCTACAGTAGCGTTCATACAGGCTGGCCTAGAATCCAATTACTCTGGGGGGATCAAATGTTCCTGCTGAATGCTTTGCATGGCTTGAAGACTTAGGAGAGAAGCTGTGGTAACCTTATTCCTGGATTGCCTAAATTAGCCCCAGCTTATTCTAAGTATCTTCATTGACAGAATTCAGCCCTGCAGGTGTGCCCAAACTTTTGCCATAGTGATAAAGTTCACATTAGAGAACCATGAAATCCAGTAACAAAATAAACAAAAACACAAAAAATCTTACCATTTTAAATAAGTTTACATATTTTGTGTTGGGCCCTATTCATAGCTATCCTGGGGTGTGGGGGGTCTATGAGCTGCAAGTTGGATACTCTTGCTAGAGGGAGGGATGGGATGAAAGAAAAGACCCCAGTTACCAGGGAACTCTCAGAAGGATCTCTGTCTTTGAAAGGGTTTTGGTTATACAGATGGCCTGCTTGGCAAGGTAACTAAGGATCTGTACTTGGGGAACCCTGCAAAACTTTTGCATGTTTCTGTATGTCCAGGAAACCAATGATCCCATATATCTTGAAGTCTTTGCATATTAAGGAATATTTTTCATATATTTAAAAAATTCTAAGAATCTTGCATACTCTCTAACAAAAACCTCTGGCTCAGAGAGCTTACATAATTTGCCCAAGGCTGCATGGCTTCCAGGGGTTGTCAGGATGTGAACCCAGGCAATATCCTTGTTTTTAAGTAAGAACAGAAACATCCCTATCCTCACTTATGAATTTAGTTCTGTCACTGCCATTTAGTTCTTCCCCAAAGCCAAGGGGCTTTCACTACAACTTCGTAGCCCATGCTGGCCTGGAACTGACCGGAACTCGGGTAAAAGCACTGTCCTTTGCTTTCTTGATTTCATTCTACTGTGCAATACCTAGGAATGCCTGACAAGAGTGGAGTCTGGAACTTGAGTAAGGGCAACACGGATTGCTACCCACTCCAGGATCCCCTGGGCGTTAAGGTATGCAGGGTAACTGAATTGCAAGCACAAAAAGATGCTGAAGCACGTTTTCAGTAATTTGGAATTACCTTTTCATTAGTGGCTAGAGTATGCAGGGTGGGTTAGTCGCCAGTGATTCCAGCATGTAGAGCAGCGGTTAGAAGCCTCTGGCTTGTGCCCCTACCCGGGCCGGTAAGGTCCCATTGGTTACCTGCGGCCAGAACGAAGGCCGGGACGCTATGGAAGCGTACAGGGCCGCAGCTGCGGCCACCCTCACACGCTACGAAGGCGGCCACCAGCCCGCACGGGCAGTGGATGTTGACGCGGGCCTCGCGGACCCCCGCTGGGGGAGCGGGCACCAGTCCAAAGTCGAGAGCGAAGCGGCCCAGCGCCAGCACCGCGTGGCCACACATGGAGCTGTAGCCCTCGTTGTGCAGGAACAAGACGCCCAGGTGCGCATCGGGCAGCTCACTGGGCACCAGGACCGCACCATACATGTCCCGGTGGCCCCGGGGCTCGAACACCAGCCGACGCCGCACGTAGTCGAGGTGCTGGCGCATGTAGCGCCGCTTAGCCAGGAGTGTAGGCCCGGCCACCTCCGGACACCCGGCGCGCACTATGCGCAGGGGCTCTCCGCCAGTGTGCATGTCCACCACCGACAGCGCCGGCGTCCTAGGGTCGTGCGGCGGCAGCCCGGGCACGGCCAGTGCCGTCTCCATCGTCTGCATCCAGCTACTGCCTCACAGCCCAGCCGAGATGAATGATGAGCCCTGCGGAAGAAGGGGCAAGGCGGGTGGCAACACGCAGCTACGCCGCTGAGCAGAGACCACCAAGCCAACTAGAGAGAGGCTGCAAGCCCAGCCCAGGCAGGGGCGGGGCCTGGGAGACTAGACCACCCACCTCCTGGGCGGGGCCTATGAGAGTAGCCCTCACACGGGGGTGGGGTTTGGGAGACAGACCTCACTCCGAGGGCGGGGCCTGTGAGATAAGCCCTCACCACGGGGCGGGGCCTGTAAGAGTAGCCCTCACACGGGGGTGGGGTTTGGGAGGATAGACCGCACTGAGGGGGCGGGGCCTGTGAGATGACCTCACTGCGAGCGCGGGGCCTGGAGACTAGCCAGCACAGCTGGGCGAGGCCTCAGAGACTAGACCACACCGTGGGGGCGGGGCGTGGTAGGCCAGACCAGGAAATGAGGGCTTAAGCACGGAGCCTAGACCAGGATGTGGAGGCGGGGCCATAGACTGGAGGGCCACGCCTCTGAGCCTGGACCGGGGCGGGGCGGGGCGACGGGGACTAGACCAGGAAGCGTAGTCGGCGTTTCTGAGGCCAGATAAGGAAACCTGAGCGACGCCTCACAACCTAGACCAGGAAACGGGGTGGGCCTGGGAGTTCAGGCCCGGAAGCCGAGGCCGGACACTCGAGCCTAGACAAGGAAACGGGGCGAGGTGTCGGAGGTTTGACTAGTGGTTGGGCGGGTTCTCAGAGCCTAGATGTAGCGCGGGCGGGGCTTCAGGGCTGTGGTCCAGGTTACTGGGAGGCGGAGCCGCTGGGAAAGCTGTAGCCCGGATGTCCGGGCGATTCGTTTGGATTGACTGATCCCTCGGCTCTCCGGGAATCCTAACGCGGCCAATGGGTAAGTGGTCGCCCAGGCTCCACTGTCCCGGTCTCCGCAGCTTTTCCACGCGGTAGGCTCGGGCTCGGCTCCTGGCGGACCGCTATGGCGTGGCGGTACAGGCTCGCCCCTTGCTGTCCCCGCGCCGGGGGCCAGGCCCTATTGCTCCTGGGGTTGGGGTTATCTGCTCTAGGGAGGCTGCAGAAGGGCACGGGCTGCTGCAGGAGGAATAGCTGAGCCTTGGTTGCGCTCTTCCAAATGTCTCTTCAGTCTCTTTGTTTCTTGTGCAGGAAACACATTCATGATGGTTGACTTCAGAATTAAAAGCACGGGCGTTAGTGCAGGAAAGCAAGGAAGCTGAACCTAATTGCCCTTAACATCTTGTCATTTTACCCTCAAATGTAAATTTCAAGGGTCCTTCATAAAGGGCGAGACTTGCAGAGAAGAGCAAGGTTATCATCTTAGCCATAGGTCTCTAAAGGAAACGAAAGGCGATTGAACAGGTACTTGGAGTCAGGGTTTTATTTGGTAGATGAGCTTTGCTTTCAGTTCATTTCAATGGTTTTCAAACCTTGTTTTTGAGATCTTTAGATGTACAGATAAAAAAAACTCTTGGGGAAGAAGCTTCCAGTGCTAAACTTATGCCTTCCCCAAAAATCTGAGACACGATTCGTTTCATGTATTTAGTTTATTGATTACGATTGCTTAAAAAATAAATACTGAAAAAGCGTGGGTTTAAAAAATGTCAAATATTTGACAAAAGTGAAAATATTTTAAACCTATTTAAAATAAGTATTTTAGACAGTTTTTCTCTTTTTCTTAGCAGCATAAGGAGAAAAACCAGATTGACAAGAATTTGAAAGGGTCTTGTTTAAGCAGTCTGCAGATTGTGAATGCATGAAAAATTTGAGAAATGATTGTTCAATAATAATATTACAAATTTTACAAATTAATTCACATAGAAGCCACAATTTTGGCTTTATTGTAGGGTCGATGGCAGATTCTTAGAGTGCAGTGACACTGTCCTGTTTCTCTGTGGACTGTTAGTGGCTCTTGAGCAGCAGAGCCAGATGCTCCATATACGGTTACTGAGCAAGGGAATCAGTGCATGAAGAATATCAGGTGCCTCTGCTGAAAAGACACCTCCAGTTTCTCCCTGTAGATGAGGCCCAAATGATCTGTAGGGGTTTAGTTTTGTTTTTAAATTTTTTCTTACATCTTTAAAATGTTAGGGAGGGTTATTTTATGTGTATGGGTGTTTTGCCTACATGTATGTAGGTATACCACATGTGTGTTGTGCCTGCTGAGGTTCTAAGAGGACATCAGATTCCCTGGGATTCGAGTTATAGTTGGGTGTTAGCCACCATGTAGGGGCTGGGAACTGAACCCTGGGTCCTTTGAGAGAGCAGCAAGTGCTCTTAACCATGGAGCCATCTCTTCAACCCTGATTTTACCATGTCTTCAAGGAATTGATTCCAAGGCAATGGTTCTCAAAATATTGGTCAGAAGCTCAATGCTAGCCTTGGTGAAATTTTCTAGTGTCCTAAAAGATAATGATAAAGGGTAGGGTAATGTGTTTATATGGAGGTGAATTGACATGTTCTAAAGATCTACCCGCTGTTCTGAAATTATATCTTTCAGCTTTCTGTTAATACATTCTGTTATGAACAAAGAATGAGTGCATGTGTATGCCTAACTTCCTGAGTGGGCAAATGAAAAATAGTGACTAACAGTGATTTTTTTTTAACTGAAAAAAACTTTGTGTGGGTATATATGATATGTATGTGGACACATTTGAGCCACAACACACACATGAATGTCAGAGGACAACTTTTGGGAGTCAGTTCTCTCCTGCTACCATGCACTGGTTCTGGGAATCAAACTCAAGTTGTCAGGCTTACGTGGCAAGTGCTTTTACCTGTTGAGCCCCCTCTCTGGCCCTCTATCAGTGATTTTTTTAAAAAATTTCTTTTGAACCATGTAATGAATGAAATCCAAAAAATCATAGGGACAGGCTTTCTGGAACCATTGGAAAGGTGCTGGGTTAAGGCTCTGAGTTCTGGGGTGGAGCCTGCTGTGCTAGTTGAAGACTTTAATCATAAGGCACAATATATAACCCGAATGTAACCTGCAGTGTCATAGTGTGAGGGAATTTAAAACTGAATGCATCCAGATTTTTGTATAATACATACATTTAAAATGGGCTTGAGCTATTTCTGACAAGTACTTCAACTTTTATTGGGTTATTTTATATGTATATATATATATATAATATGTAATCACAAATATATATGTTTCTCACCAGCCATTGTTGCTGTGCATGCAAAGCCAAGTTGTCAGCATCTCCTAATTTGTAGACACAAGCTATGCTGGAAAGGATGTGGGGTAAGTCCTATGTTAATATTATTTCATTTGTAAGATCTGTGTACTTTTGAAATATTTTCACACATAGAATCTTTTTTTCTTAAATATACCCATTAATTGATAAGCATATGGAAGTATTAATAAAAGCCTTGTTTGTATTGTTATGTTGGTGACTCTGCTACATCTTTCTTGACAATCACAAATGTTTTAAAAATATTTTATAATGTCTATTAGTCTTTCATGATTTAGTAGAGTGATTTCTAAAGTAAGTTAATATTATAGCTCCATAAAATTTCTCTGCAGTTATTTTCATATGATGTTACCAGCTAGGCTTTTTGTTGAGTATTGGCTATTTTAGTAACTAAAATGAATCTTTAATGAGCATTTTACAGATATAGCACATATAAGAGATGTTTGGTTTTGTAGATTTTTAAAAATTCTATTCTAGTATTCTACACTTATGTTTTCTTTTTTAATTTTAAAAGCTATAGATACTTAAAATTTTAAACTAAAACGGAATGACTTAGAGAATGACCTTAAAATAATATCTGTATATAAAGCAGTACTTTTATATGTTGTAGGTGTGCCCAAGAGGACAGAGGACGAATGCTCAGAAATACTGTCAGCCTTGCACAGAGTCCCCAGAACTTTATGATTGGCTCTATCTTGGATTTATGGCTATGCTTCCTCTCGTTTTACATTGGTTCTTCATTGAGTGGTATTCAGGGAAAAAGAGGTTAGCACATTCTGAGTATATCTGGATGGACTGACATTGGACTAACCGTCACTTCTTTATTTTGATGGCTAGCACACAGTCTTCTACGACCTACACCCTCAGCCTGATTATCATTTAGAAGAGTAATTATTCTTCATCTGTTGTTTCAAAAGTGACAAACAAATGTTTCTTTATATTTTGACTTTTTTTTTTTTTTTGGTCTTTTTGAGACAGGGTCTCCCTGTAGCCCCAGCTATCCTGGAACTCACTATGTAGACCAGGCTGGCCTTGAACTCACAGAGATCTGCCTGCCTCTGCCTCCCAAGTGCTGGGATTAAAGGCATGCGCCACTACGCCCAGCTTATATTTTGACTTTTAAAAAAATAATTGTAGCAAGAAAGCAATGATAGGGCATGTCTTGGTCATTTTTAATGGTAGTATCCTTTATTTTTCAATGGAAAAAGGAATCCTCAAAGATTTACAGACAGCAAAGCCAAAAAAAGGGGGGAGGGATAAAAAACAGTGTTTTGAAGTAT